CCCCCCCCCCCAGTATAACTCGCAAATTATACACTTTGTAACAGAAGGTATAAGTTTGAAACCCCCCCCATTTTTTACCCAGATAACATCGCTGAACCACAAGTATTTCCGTACTCATCTTGCCCCCCCCATGTCCCTTGGTCGACCATTGTTGATAGAAGACGTCGGCGAAGAACTCGATCCCCCCCCCCATAATGTACTGGAGAAGAACTTTATTAAGTCTGGATCGACACTTAAGGTTAATCCCCCCCCGTCTATCAAATTCAGTCATTTGTGTATTTATTCTTTGAAAAAATTATTTCTTCCCCCCCCCTGTTCATCCATCCATTTATTCATTTGTTTATTCGTTCTTTTCCCTTCTATTCGCCCCCCCCTCATTTGTGTTCATTTTTATTCATTTTGTTTGTATTCTTCATTCATTCATTCACCCCCCCCTTCATTAATCGTTCTGTGTTCATGATATTTAGGTCAAGGTCGGTGACAAGGAAGTCGACGTAATGAAAGGGTTTATGTTATATATCACGACCAAGCTTGCYAATCCTGCCTACACCCCCCCCGTTAGTGYARCATTATCTGTGATCTCTTAATGTGGGGGTTAGGGTTAGTTAATCCCCCCCCTAATGCTTATGATTGTAGTTATGTTGATTTTTATTCGACCAGTCTCCTTCGCCCAAACGCTGACTCGAGATGACTGGATTTGAGACTGAACTTACGTTGCTAGTGAAACTCCAGCCCCCCCCCTCTTTGTGTGCCTATACAAATGCTATCTCACTTTTTTTTCGTTGATTTTCTACCCCCCCCTTTTACCAAAACACTGGTATGATGATAATGATGATGATGATGATAAGGATGATCCCCCCCCTAATAATGATAATGATGATATATTTCTGATATGTTTTATAGATCAGTGCACGCCCCCCCCCAATCGACTTCACTGTAACGATGAAGGGACTTGAAGACCAGCTGCTCGGACTTGTCATCCTAACTGAGAAAGCTGTAAGTAAATACTCCTTTTTTAATTCTTCTTTTCCTTTAATCCCCCCCCTTTGATTTGCCTTGCTCCCTACATTTCGTTTGCTTTGTTGTTTTTTTTTGTCCCCCCCCCCGTCCTCATCCTGTGCTGTGGTATTTTTCTTCCCCATTCTCATTCTCCTTTTTTCCCTTTCATTTCATTTAGTTTCCATTTTTTTATCTGCCATCTGACTTCTTTTATTTTACTTCCCCCCCCTTTGTGGACACTTCATTCCATTTCCATTCCATTGCGTTCCTTGTTTTTTGTGCCCCCCCCCTCTCTATATGTCTTTCATTTCATATCCTTCTCCTTTCCATTTGTGAACTCTTGCCCCCCCCCTTTATCCTTCTTTGTCCAATCACAAAACGATTTCTTACTATGTCGGCTTTAGATTTCTATGGAAGCTATTTCTCATTATCACATTATTTTATTTCAGGAACTRGAGTCTGAACCCCCCCCACTTCTTGAAGACGTGTCGTCCAACAAGAGAAAAATGAAAGAACTCGAGGATACCCCCCCCTATCGCTTRACAAGYACACAGGTATCCCAAGACATTGAATTTAATACACCCTACCCCCCCCAGATGCAGCATCAATATATATATTCCTCCAAAAAGATTGACAAAAGATTTAATCCCCCCCCAGAAGAAAACCTCTCTTTTTTACAACTAGCTTGGCTGTTATAGAGCAAACACACCCCCCCCACAGATTAAAATATGCTAGTTACTAACCTTGTTTCTGTTGTTAATTGTGTATCCCCCCCCCCTCTAGTAGACGACGAGTCTTTAATCGAGGTACTCAGTGTTACAAAGACGACGCCCCCCCCAGTCAGTCAAAAGCTGATCGTGGCTGCTGATACAGAGATTAAAATCAACACGGCCCCCCCCGAGTTTAGACCAGGTGAGCTCTTTTAGGAACCTCTGTATTACGGGAAGACAGTCCCCCCCCAGAGGTGGGCGTATTAATGGGGTGAATAGCCACTGCGTGGAAGCGTATAATAACCCCCCCCTAAGCTACAATCTTAGGAATCTATATATTACGGACACGCAGTGGTCGGAAAGACCCCCCCCTATTAAATGGGTGAATAGCCACTGCGTGGATGCATATGAAGAGTTAACTAGTGCCCCCCCCGGACAAAACGTCTTGGGACTTTCGCATGGGTTTGGGTTACTCATCCACGCTTTCCCCCCCCGCCTTTGTTTGTCCATATATCTCGTGCTTCTTTCTACCCCCTTTCAATGTTGTCCCCCCCCGGTTGACGGTTTGCTGTCAGTCCGTCTATAACATTGTATGATGGGGAGTGCCCCCCCCTTCGATTGTAGAGGAGCAACTAGGCAATTCCACCTAAATTAATTCTATAGCCCCCCCCCCCCAAGGGTTTTGTCCAATATTGTAGTATGAGTTGCGTTCGTTGTTTCTGAAACCAGTTAAGATAATGATGCGAACTTCGCGGTGCTGTAAGGCTGAACTTGATTAGGTAATATTACCCCCCCCACACTTAATTTGATTTTGTTYTTCAGTTGCAACACGAGGTAGCATTCTGTATTCCCCCCCCGTCGAGATGTCGTATGTCAACTGCATGTACCAGACATCGTTAAAGCAGTTCCTCCCCCCCCTTGATCAATCAATGGCAAGGTAAGACCTCTCAATAGCTTGAATTAGCCGTCAACCCCCCCCTGACGAGGCGCGCAAGTCGGCGTGGGCGATAGTGGGACTTTTACCTTAAAATACCCCCCCCGAATGGGACAAGATTAAAATCGCTTGCTATGAAGAGAATAAGCTGAGGCGCGACCCCCCCCGCCTACTTCGTATACAACTTACTGATCCTTCTACGAAGATTTTTTGCCTATGTCCCCCCCCCAATAATCAAGGTTTTTGTCACTAATTACCAGATCCCAGCCGTCTCCAATCACAAGCAAGCGAATTAAGAACATCATCGACTACCTCACCCTTGAAGTCTGGAAATTCTCGTGTCCCCCCCCTTACGAGAGCCACAAGTTCCTTTTCACACTGTTGTTGACCCTCAAGATCGACTCCCCCCCCAAGAAGATCAAACACACTGAGTTTATGACTCTCATCAAGGGGGGTGCATCCCTTGACTTGAAGGCCTGCCCACCCAAGGCTTGTCGGTGGATTACTGATATCACGTGGTTGAACCCCCCCCCATTGAGCAAGCTGCCGCAGTTTTCAGATATTTTAAACCAGGTAATGTAGAGAACCCCCCCCTTTTTATAATTCCTTTAACTTTTTGCCTTTTCCTCTTGTCCTCTTCTATGTACCCCCCCCCTTTTTCCTTTCCTGTTTTTCTCTTCTCATTTTTTCTTTCTTTTCTCTTTTCGTCCCCCCCCACCAATCGAATACAGCATATTTTATCTTGAATACACTTTTTCTGTTTCAAGCACCCCCCCCTATTGTTTCTTATCATAAATATGTCAAGGTTCTTTGGTTTCGTCCTATTTTTGCCCCCCCCTAAATTTTAAACGCCGTTAAGTAGGTGAAATGACTTACTGACGTTTCCGACGTTAGTTCTTTGTTGGAGTAAAGTGAACGATTAACGTCCGGAACGCCAGTAAGTTATTTCACCTACTTTACGGTGTTAGAATTTACCTTATTTCACAACTGTTTAAAATACCGACGCAGCTCGACCCCCCCCCCGCTAGTTCCCATCGCTTTTCCCATTTGATAATTCTTCCATCTCTTTATTTTCCCCCCCCATTATTTTAACCTGTTCGATATTTCTTTTTTTTTCTTTCTGTTCGCTGTTTAGATATCCCGTAACGAGAAACAATGGAAGCACTGGTTTGATAAAGAGGCTCCAGAAGAAGCAGCCCCCCCCGATGGCTACGCGAATTCTTTGGATACTTTCAGGAAACTATTGTTAATAAGGTACCCCCCCCCACCTTTCCCTAAAAAAAGACGTCTTTTCCTTCAGTGTAACGAATACATTTCACCCCCCCCAGTCCTCTGTCAGCGTAGCAAGGGCAGCGATCACGCTAGAACACCTTTTAAGACTGGTTTACCAAGTACGATTGTCGCGCGCGACTTGTAATATACGACGCAAATGAGACAGAGCCCCCCCCTCGCGCCGTCTAAGTGACTACAACAGTCGTACGCAACCGTAGGAAAATCGTATACTACAATA